AACTCACCCTCAAAAAAGAAGAGATCTTTTGGTTGCAGAGGTTCAGATTGCAAGTTTCTTCACTTTGGGGATCCAATACTTCGTTCTTCCACAAAATAGCAAATTGCACGCATAGGGACAACACTATTTCCCAAAATAAAGATCGGGAAAGGGGTGTTCAACCAACCTACTGAGGTCGAAGAAGCCATTTTATCCTACCTCCAACACCTCTTCTTTGCCCCATCTGGCCCTAGACCGAGAATAACAAACCTTTATTTTCTCTCCCTTTCAATGGACCAGGCCTACTGGTTGGAACGACCTTTTTTGGAAGACGAAATACTTGCAGCCATTAACATTCTAGGCCATGATCGAGCCCCTGGCCTTGACGGGTTCCCAATGACCCCTTTGAAATCTTTGGGAATCCCTCCTTCAGGAATGATTTCCTCTCCCTCTTCAAGGAATTCCATACTAGAGGTATCATCAATAGGCTATGAACGCCACTTTAAATGCTTTGGTGCCCAAAGTGGAAGGAGCCAATCAACTCAAGGACTTCCACCCCATCAGCCTCATCAACTCTTCCTACAAAATCGTCTCCAAAGTACTGGCTACTCGCCTCCACGTGGTTCTATCCAATATCATCTTCCCTTCCCAACTTTTGTCAAAGACCGACAAATTCTCGACGGGGTGCTTGTGGCTCATGAATGCATCCACTCCATATGCCTCTTGAAAGAACCTGGTTTGGTCATTTAACTTGATTAAGAGACAGCCTACGACCATGTAGACTGGGATATTGTAAATGAGACCATATATTGGATGGGGTTTGGGGATCGCATGAGATATTGGATGAAAGGTTGCTATTCTAATCCCTACTTTTCCATTCTCATCAATGGAAGCCCCAAGGGCTTCTTCCCCCTGCTAGGGGCCTCAGACAGGGAGACCCTCTCCCCTCCTTCCTGTTCGCAATCATTGCAGAAGTCTTCATTCGATCAATTTCCCAAATGTTCTCCTCTGGTAGGCTTCATTGTTTCAAGAGTGGGCCTCGAGGCATACCATCACCCACCTACAATATGCTTACGACGTGCTCGTCTTTTGTGGAGCGTTTTAGCAGGAACTTGACTCTCTCTTTGTTTTTCTCAAACGCTTTGAATTTATGATGGTTTTTAGAGTTAACCTCGCCAAATCTAAGATTATTGGCGTCACTTTGAACTTCGAGCTACATAAGCCTTTATAGCCAGCTGGGGTTGCCAAGCCGAATCCTTGCCGTCCAACGATGTCTACCCTTTTGCATCGGCAAGCTAAAGAAAAGACTGTGGTCCCACATTATGACAAGGTCGATCATAGACTTGCTAGTTGGAAAGATATTTTCCTTTCACGAGCTGGAAGGATTACTTAGTAAGGCCACCCTAGCCAATATACCGGTGTATCAAATGTCAATTTTTCATTTGCCCACAGCAGTGACCAATCATCTGGAGCAACTTATGAAAAGATTTCTCTGGTCGGGTGAGGTGGATGCACATAAGTTCCACTTCATTTCGTGGGAGAAAGTGTGCCAATCTATGCGGCTCAGGGGGTTTGGTATCTGGAATTTGAGGAAGCATAGCACAACTTTACTTGGGAAATGGTGGCGGTGTCTTGCTACACAAGTTGAGCAACTATGGATGCCGGTCCTCCGGCAGAAATGTCGTATACACCCCTCGGTCTGGGTGCCAGGATGCAGGGCTAACAGCAGATCATCTGGGGCTTGGAAATCTATGCTCTCTTCCTTCAGCCTTCTCAAAAACTTTATCCGCTTCCACCCTTGGGAGGGACGTCGCGTTAGATTCTGGTTAGACCTCTGGATTGGGCACACCCACCTTAAACACCTCTACCCACTCCTTTTAGCCTGGCTCAGAACCAAGTGACCTCTTTTGCCGATGAACCGCGCCCTTCGGGGCCTTTTAGATCTTGAAACCCATCTACCAGGCGAACCCGTACCGATTCAGAGACGGCTGATTTCATCTCCCTGTCTGACACCCTCCACAACATCTTCCTCGCCCCCCAAGGTCACGACTCTATCATCTGGTGCCTATCCCCCTCGGAGATTTTCATGGTTGCTTCTTTTTACCACAGGCTTATTCAATCGCTAACCTACCCCCTTTCACTGATTTCCATCATATCTCAAGCTTGGTCCTCCATTGCTCCACCAAAAATATGAGTATTTACTTGGATTGCCTTGTCTAAAAGGGGCGTAATGGTCGACCAACTTCTAAAGAGAGGCCTACCTATCCCCAATAGGTGCGTTACGTGCCTTGCTGACAAAGCGAGTATTGCCCACCTTTGCCTTTACCTGCCCCTCGCCCAGGACATCTGGTGGGCTCTCCTTCAACTTTCAAGTGGCATTTGGTTACCCCCAAGTCAGTTCCTCTCCTTTTTAGCTCCCTCCACCCTTTCCCCTGGCTCAAAGTGGGTATTCTCCTGTGGAAGGCATTGGTGGCTGCTGCCCTTTGGGTCATATGGACCAAGAAGAACATTAGGATCTTCTGTGGAGAAAGATCCATGCCTGTCTCCCTTCTTGACAAGATCAGGTCCGTTGTCGTTTTCTGGGTGACAAACGACAAACACAAAGGCCTTCCGCACTCATCTTTCTTCCAAGATTGGGATGCCATTATTCATTCAACATAGGTTCACATTCCTGGTGCCTACCTTTGGAGACCGTCAATCCTAGGGCAGACCAAATTGAATTTTGATGGTTGCTCCTTAGGTAACCCTGGCCCCTCTGGGATCGGTGGACTATTCAGGGACCATGAGTGTCACAGCCTGGCCTCCTTCTTCAAGAATATTTGGACACTTCGACTCCCATATGGCAGAGGTCCTCGCTCTGCTTGAGGGAATTAGGCTGTTTAATCCCCATTGGAACTTTTCGCTCGTAGTTGAGGGGGACTGCAAGGACGCCACACAATGAGCCTCTGGCTCCCCTCCTTGCCCTTGGTCTTTGGCTCCAATTTTTGATGAAATCACTCATATTTGCAAAGATATGGACATCTCTTGGAAGCATATCTGGCACGAGGCCAACCAAGAAGCTGACTCTCTTGCTAAGGACAGCTCTACATAATCTCCCCGTCCTAAAAGCTTACTTTTGGAGTTTTTTTGTAACTTGATAGTTTTACTCCACCTGATTTAAGGTTTTTTGTACAGTTGTCCTATATGGTGCTCCGGTCCTGTGGGAGTGTTTTTGTATATAGAGCTCCCAGTATGTGGGATGCCTATTTTTTCATAAGATTATATTTCTCTAACCTCAATAGAATAAAACAGTTACTCCGTGGTGGTAGTACTGTCAGCCCCATGATGAGGTCTCTGACTCTATTCTCACCAAAAGGGTAGGGGCCCAAATCCCCATTGACTTACCCCCAGATTACTGTCTTCCCCACTGAATTACCCCCCCAAAAATAAAAGAATGATCCAAATTATCACTGCCATTGATGCTCTCCAAAGAAAAATTTCAGCTGCAAGGAATGGTGGCGAGGAGAAGGTCTGGAACAGCTGCACTGTTGATTGGGGTAACACCCACTTCCAGTGGAGAATTTGGAATTTCAGCCATGAAGTTCTAGCCACTTTGCAGTTAAGGAAAAGGTGGGTATTAGTTTCGTCTGTTGTTTTGCACAAGATGCATCTGTTTGAAAGAGAGAAACCTCTTTTCTGTAGATGGTCTCCAGTAACCGCTTTCATGAGAATCACAGTCCAGCAGAAAATTTGGATATTCAGCAGTCTTTTCAGAGGCCACCATCATAACACCCTCCGTACTTTCTCAGCTCATATTCGTTTTGCTGACTCTTGGTAGGGGCATTAGTCCTCCTTGAGGGTATTAAGAGACTCAACCACCATGGGAGGAATCGTTTGGTTATGGAAGGGCATTCCAAAAGTGTTATAACAGGGGCTTCTGGGGCCGTGGAAACTTGAATATGTTTTTTAGCATATTGCCTTTCTTTGAAGGCATATTCACACCTCTTGTCGGCATACTTAGTGACAGGCCAACTGCAGCACGGACATCCTAGGAGGAGCTAGAGCGGCCAATCATACCAGAACCATTTTGGTACCTTTTTGAGCTGGGTTATGGGTTTTGAGATCTTTCGGTTTCTTGAGTCTTCTTGAGCAGGGTTCTAGACACCATCTTTGTATAGCCTTTCTAACTTGTGTGCTCCTGGAGTGTGGGTTGCCACAATTTTTTGTAACCAGTTAATTATGGTTACACAATGGCATCATTCAAACAACATTGCCGATATTTTTTTGTGTTTTATTTTTTTTATCGATGAAAGAAAAATAATTATGACATTTTTCAATACTTGAAAGAAGAAACAAAAGCATTGATGAGATCCTGTCTTTCTTGTTCCCCTGATTTGTAAGTGGGAAGTACCGATGAGATCCTGTCTTGCTTGTTCCCCTGATTTGTAAGTGGGAAGTTAAGGGTTTGGCCCTTGAAATTTGTCGCGAATAGTAAACCAAAGTGTGCCATCCATTTTTGTCCCTTGGACCTTAACCTAGTGGCAGACACCCCATGCATGTTAACTCGAGGTCAAGGCTTCGACGCTTGAGATTTTTTCCCACCAACAAGTTTCCTATTTGTTTTCATTGTAAGTAAAATATATGATAAATATTGTGACATGGATATTTTAATCAAGATTGCAGTGGCATCCAATGATTTTGGATAATAAGTTGTATTTTGTGTTATATATACAGTTGCTGAAGGAGAGAGGGCTGTTACCCGAGCTGGGTCCAAAAGTTGATTACATAGTGCTGCCCTTAGATCCACAGCTCCAAGGTGCAGCTGCCATGGTTGCTTCTACTCTCAGGGAGAAAGGCCGGAGTGTTGACCTTGTCTTGGAAAACAAACGTTTAAAATGGTATCATCAACTTCCAGTCACTCCCACTTGTGCACGCGTGCACACACACACAATTATCCATTAACATATTCTCCCTCTCTCTCTCTCAACAGATTTAGAGGCCTCCATACATTGAAATAGAGATACATTCTTGAACAATTGCACATCAAAATCAGGACATCTCGGTATATGAGATCTTAAATAAGGCTGAGATGCAATTTGTTCCTCATCAGAACGCACACGGAGGAGTTCCTAATGAGTGAATACATCTTATTTGGTCATGTTCCTTGACAGTGACATTGGTATTGTGAATAGTGTTTTGGGTTTGAAAATGTTCTATTTTTTTTACATCTCGTCCAATATCTAGAGCTGTAAAGTGTGTTTCATGGATCCCTCCAGGGATTCTGTGTTTTTACCCGCACTTTTTACTATGTTGGAGCCCCAGTCCATAACCAATTGGCATTCACTAAATGGGATAAGCTCATTAGGTATGCGAACCTTGTTTGTAGAGAGAGAGAGAAAGATGGTAGGGAGAGACGGTGCAAAATTCTTGCCACCTTCTTATAATGGGAATGGCGTAAAAGAAATGGGTGCAGATAGCAAACACTTGGGTGTTTGAACCAAATTTCCTTTTGGGTTTTCAATATTTTTTTCTACAACTCCTCTCGATTTGACCCGAAAAGGCCTTTTTAAGTTTTAACATAAAATGAGCTGGTGGGACACAATGGGAATTGGTCCATATTGAAAGGGCAAGTTATATGCATTTCTTAATTTTTGAACTTAGATGTCACCCGACACTGTATCATGATAATATGCGTATGAAGCTATTACCCGTTCCATTATATTTCAAGGTGTGCATCTCCTTACGTGACTAACCATGCAATTGATTTTCTCTCTTTCCCTCCCTCTCCCTCACCCCACACACATTATGTGTAGTTTTTTTTTTTTTTTTTTTGGGGTTTTGATTTTGATGTTGATGTTTTGTTTTCTTTCTTTTGGGTGTTGCAGGGTGTTTAAGCATGCTGAGCGGATCAATGCCAGCAAGCTGATACTCGTTGGAGACTCTGAGTGGCAACGAGGAATGGTTCGAGTGAAGAATCTCTGTTCAAGGGAAGAATCTGACCTCCCACTTCATGAATTGGAATGATGAGGAATACCTAAAATAAACCCCTTTTAAATCTCATTCTTTATTTGGTTTCTTCTATACTTCTTATTGTTGACTTAAAATTGCTAGAGGTGTGAAACTTGAGAGTGGGTTATCAATGAAAATCACGTATTTCAAATTGTTGATCAATGAAAATCACACATTTCAAATTGTTGATCAATGAAATCATATATTCAATGCAAGCTTTACTGCACTTCTATTATCTCAGCCAATTCCAGGTTAACCCAATTTGCTAAAAATGGCGATATCAAGATGGCTCGCAAGGTGTTTGATGAAATGCGTGATAGAAACATTGCATCATGGAATTCTATGATAAGTGGGTATTTCCAAAATGGTCAACCACAAGAAGCAAGAAATGTGTTTGAGAGAATGCCAGAGAAGAATATAATCACCTGGAATGGGATGATTACTGGTTACATGGCCCATGGCATGATAGAAGATGCCCAAAAAGCCTTTGAGAGCATGCACGAAAGGAATGTTGTGTCATGGACTTCCATGGTTAGGGGGTATTTGCATCACGGCATGGTGAAAGATGCAGAGGCTTTGTTTTGGGTGATGCCTGAGAAGAACGTCATCTCGTGGACAGTAATGATGGGGGGCCTCATCCAGGACCATCGGATTGATGAGGCTCGTGCTTTATTTGACAAGATGCCTGAGAAGGATGTGGTCATGTGGACTAATCTAGTCATGGGTTATTCTCAAGAGGGAAGAATCGCAGAAGCGCGTGATTTATTTGATGAGATGCCCTATAGAAATGTCATTTCTTGGACCACCATGATTTCAGGGTATGCCCAAAATGGAATGGTGGATATAGCTAGGAAGTTATTTGAGGTCATGCCATGGAGGAATGAAGTTACATGGACTGCTATGTTAACGGGTTATACACAATGTGGGCGTACTGAGGAGGCGGTGGAGTTACTTAGGAGAATGCCAGAGAGAAGTTTGATTGCTTGCAATGCCATGCTTGTTGGGTACGCTCAGAATGGGAAGCTTTTGGATGCACAGAGATTGTTTAGTGGGATGAGAGTGAAAGATGATGCTTCATGGGCAGCCATGATTGATGGGTATGCAAAATGGGGGTTGGTGAGAGAGGCTATGAATGCATTTGAGGAGGCTCCTGAAAAGACCCCTACCTTATGGGGTGCTATGATCAAGGGAAATGGGCGCAATGGCCTTGAATTGGAGGCCCTCAATCTTTTCATGCAAATGCAAAAATATGGTATCATGCCAACTCACTCCACGGTAATCACAGCACTGACTGTATGCGCTAGTCTTGCCCTTTTGGATAAGGGGAAGCAAATTCACTCTTATGTGATGAAGTTAGGGTTCCATTTAGATGTGTTTGTTGCTTCATGTCTAATCACAATGTACTTCAAGTGTGGCAATCTATGCAATGCCCATGATATCTTCATGCGATCCCACGAGAGAGACGTCGTGATGTGGAATGCCATGATTACAGGATATGCACAGCATGGGTTAGGGCACGAAGCCCTCAAATTCTTTTACAGTTTGTGTGAAACACAAAAAGACATAGCCCCAGATGCAGTTACCTTTGTTGGGGTACTCACTGCTTGTAGCTATACTGGGAGAGTAGCTGAAGGCTGGCGTGTGTTGGAGTCAATGAGTAGGGACTTTTCAATCGAGCCAAAAACCGAGCATTATGCTTGCATGGTGGACCTCCTAGGAAGAGCAGGCTACCTCAATGAGGCTATGGATTTAATTAGGTCTATGCCTTGTGAGCCTGATGCTGTAGTTTGGGGTGCATTGCTTGGTGGGTGTAGAACCCATGCAAACATGGATTTGGCTGAGGTTGCAGCCAAGAAACTCCTCATGCTCGAGCCCACAAATTCGGGCCCTTATGTGTTGCTCTCTAACTTGTATGCATCTGGTGAGAGATGGGGTGAGGTGGAAGAGCTTAGGAAGATGATGAGAGAAAGGAATGTGAGGAAAGCAGTGGGTTGTAGTTGGATTGAAGTTGAGAAGAGGGTTCATGTATTTATGGGTGGCGATGTGAAGCATACCGAGCATGATATGATCATGGGTGTGTTGGAGAGGTTGAGTGGGGCACTTAGAGAAGCAGGATATAAGGCGGATGGTAGATACGTGTTGCATGATGTTGATGATGAGGAGAAGGAGCAGAGTTTGGGAATGCATAGTGAAAAGATGGCTGTGGCTTTCGGGATCGCAAGAGTGCCAAGTGGGGTTCCTATTAGAGTGATGAAAAACCTCCGGGTTTGTGGCGATTGTCATGATGCAATCAAGCTGATCTCGAGGATCAGTGAGAGAAAGATAATTTTGAGGGATGCGAATAGGTTTCACCATTTCAAGAATGGTTCTTGTTCTTGTGGGGATTATTGGTGAGATTGGGTTGGGTTCATCTCTCTCTCTCTGTGGGATATTTACCCTATTGTAGGTGTATCTGGTCTAGTAAACATGTATGTGCTTAACTAATTTGATGAAAAAAGAGAGGAGATTAGGGACTAAAGAACCAATGCACATGTGTTGGCTTTCAAGGAAGGATTGAAACCATTACAAGAAAGTTTCCGTCCTGGTATGGGCAAGTACACTCATAATGAATATTATATTACGATTCAATCAAGTGGAAGTATGCAATGAGACTATTTACCTTCGTACAAGGTGGTCACACTTATTCTTGATCATTGGATGTCAAATTGATTGGCTGCATTTATTCCATTGATCAAGTTCAAACTTCAATTTTTTTTTTATTTTTTAACTTTTTAACACACTTAAGCCATCAATTTCACATCGGATAGTTATAAGTAATTGGGACTTTTATAAAAGATAAACGGATTCATTGTATATAATCCCTTCAATTAATCCCTACTTTTCCTCCAACTGTGCAACCCATTGATTGGATAATGATACTTTCCCCCCATATGGCTCAAGATATGCATCCACCATCAGCTTGACGTGGAACAATAGTGATGAGATATTGTGAACACCATGGTTATCAACATTGGAACAAATTGGTTGGTCCGACCAGTGAGACATGCAATTAATTGAAAACTGGTCAAAACATTGTTAACTAATTTTGTTTAACTAATTTTGACTACCAAATTGTTTTGACCTATTAGATCAGCTAATAACGTTGGGTAATTTTCTTTTATAATATATTTTATATTATAAAATTATTGTTACTTTTATTTTTTGAATAATTGGATTGGTTTAACTCAACTAGTACTTGATGACAACGGGTAACAATCAGAAGATGAAAAAAAAAGTTTGCAATTGTTGTTTGTAACCACTCTATGTTATTTTGGTTGGGGTTTGACGTGTATGGTTGTGATATAATTCAATTTGTTAGATTTTACATTTAATGGTTAAAAATGATTGAAATTTCCTTGTATGGATAATAAATAATCTCATAATATGCAATCCCTTGAAAAAAAAAATGCTTTTAGAAGTTGTAACGTATGAAATTATAAACACAGCCAATATCAACAGAAGATCAGCTCCTGATATTATTATTATCCCTATGTAGCTCATCGTAACTTTTATAAAATGATTGTGGTAGAATTTTAAAAATGTTTTTTATTATGTAAATAAGTTATTTAATAAAAAATTAGAATTTTTATTCTCAATTTTGTACCCATATTTTACTAAATTGTGTAGGATTATTGAATTTTTATCCTCATTTTTGTGCCCATATTTTAATATATTGTGTAAGATTATTGAATTTTTAATTGTTTTTAGTAAATTTTATATTTTTTAAAAATCACGATCAACACATTGTAACACTCGCTATTCTTGACAGGACATTCTCAACTTCGAAGGCGTATCAAGCTATTTATTTACAGTGTCACTGAGCAACCTCCAAAAGCACAGCGTGAGTGATCACAATTATTATGCAAATGACTCATGTTCTTGCCCTCTTATTGCCCTTTCAAGAGTCTGAGAATAATCTCCAGAAAGAATGGAAATCGAAATCCCTGTTTTTAAAAATCATGGTCCCACAGTCCTAAAGGGCTGGAGAGGGGATCTACATCTAGGTTGGAATATCCGGAGTTTAGATTTTCCATCTCTTTTTGGAAAATTAAGATCCCCAAAATCGAAAACATGAGGACACTAAAAACCATGATTTTGATGAAAATGATGGACCCAAACATTGGATTGAGGTCAAACCTGCGTTTTACAGAACCAAGTTTTGTAAAAGTAGGTTTGAAGCAGGCTGGCACTATCATGGCCTTGGCTGAGCCCCAGCCAGACCTTGACCTAAGCCCTAGGTTTTCAGGTTGGGGACACCTGGCTCATTGCCACCCCTAGTTGCAACTTAAGAGAGAGAGTACAGAGTAAATGATCCAAACAAACAATCAATTCAGAGAAAGAAAAGTATGTTTTGCTAGTGTACTCTTTTTTATACATAGTCTACAAACAATTTTACAATGTCTAAAGGACATACTTCAAAATACCCTTCTTTCTTGTCTTTTTTCTTTTTTTTTTTTTTTTTTTGACAATGACATACTTCGAAATACCTTACTTGGATTCGATGACCAACTTTTTGATCAACTTCCAAATACAATCACACTGTTGGATTCATACACATATATGAATTCCATGCTGAACCATGGTTAGACCCCACTCATGATCATCTCTATTTGTACCCTCTCCTATTTCTCATTTGGTGACAAAGGTTCCTATATAACTGAACCCCATGATGAAGAATGCTCCTGCTTGAAGAAATAGGTAAATGTAGAAATGGTCGTGGCCATACTTAACGTCGTAGATTGCACAATACAATAGATACATTCCCATTAACAGTTCTAATATGTGTATCCTGTAAATTGTCCAACATAATCACAGAATGTCAGAATATTGTGCAGCATCCAGGCATGCCGTGTGTCTCTGTGGTGCAGCATCCGGGCATGCCATGTGTCTGTGTGTGTGTACGCGTGCACGAGAGAGAGTCATAGAAAGTGAAATGAGACATTGGGTATAAGAAAATAAAATTAGAGGTTGGGAGAAGAAATATTACCACCTTTCCCCAATATTCGAGCGAGGCTTCTTCTGTTGCTTATTAGAACCTTTGTTCCTCACTGTATTTCCTAGTTTCTCAGTCACTACCCATTCATTCACACGCTCTGCCTCTAATAGCCCAATGATTGTCGCTTTTGTTCGATGAAGAGACATCACATTCTCAAATAAGATCCAAAAAATAAGAAGGTGAAGTGACCTATCCAAGATAAGAAGAATAAAGCTGTAAGAGTGAAATGTGACATTAGAAAGCAGGAGATCAAACACTAAATATCCTACAAATAATTTATCTGGAAAAGAAATTTGTATGTATCCTTTTTAAATAATTTTTATTGGGAAATTGATTAAAATACACGCAAGAGATCAACTATTTAACATTTTGCCTGATTTAAAGTTTCAAATAATTTTCACAATACACGATCATCAGTTGGAATAGTTAAAAAGGGTAAACCATTTAATAGTTGCAAAGTTAGGTATATTTAGGAATTGGGCTTGGGCTTGGGCTTGGGTTTGCGCTTGAATAGTTATCAGAAGATGTCAAGCAATGCTACATCTCAAGTTCAATGCCTGCCAATGAACTACCAAAAAAAAAAAAGTTAGGCATATTTTACTAAATTTGCTTAATTTTTTCAGCCTACTTAAATGGTAGATAAAATGAACACCACAAACCTCTATGATGTTTTATAGAGACTTTGTCAATCTATGGCTAAAGCTGCCTGAACAGTAAATTGGCTCAAATGTGTCCTTGTAGGCAATGAGTATTACAAATTCCACGATAATTGCATCAACCCAAATAAATTTAAAGGAACATCTTACAAATTTAAATGATGATAAGTCAATTGCCAAAAGATTTGAGCACAATTGTGAAATTTGTCTTAAATTTTAAGCTCAATTTTTGCCCATGCATAAAATGCAGTTTATGTTCCAAATGAAATTTGAAGTTTGCTTGCTGTATAGGGTATTCTCCCTCACCAATCATGTACTGTGCTCCCAAGGAAGCACTATATATGGTACCAAATTATTACAAAATGATCTATGTATGTAGGGCTCATCAGAAGGTTTCTATTACCTTGGTGTGCAGATGGCATTGAGTATTGTAATTGCAGATGGTATATAAATTGCAACTATTTTGGGAAGGTGCATTTCAGGAACCAGAACACTTGCAGGGATGATGATGCAATAGAAGAAGAAGGTCACAAGATGTGCCACGATCTTCCTTACGAAGAAGAATGCGTAAATAACATGGAATTTTTTCCATATTGACACCTTCTGCACTTGCAAACAAATTTCACAGAGAAAAGCATTAGCCATTCGAATCCATAAGCCTAACAAATATAAGCAAGTATCCAATAGTTTGTGATACAAGGGAAAATCTACTCTTACTTGAATAAATGCCTCTCTTTCTTGATTTTTACCTATTTCAGTTTTCGGGTATGATTTGAATTTGGGATCTAGTGTTTGAACAGTCAACAATCACACTTTAAACCACCGGCCCAAGCTCTAATCCTACTTGAATAGATGTTTTTCCAAGCATGCATGTTTTGGTTATAAATTCGAGATAAACCTTTATTGGTTGTTGGTTTCATGAGAAGTCTTCCTTATCATGATATATAGATCCTAATAAATTAGAAAAGGCACCAGTTAAAAGAAAGTATTATTTGTTGGTGCACGAAAATGAAAGGTTAAAATGGTATAGAAGAGATATCATAATTCAGAAAACCTTGCATACAAGCAGGGGTTACAGTAATTGCTTATGTGGTAATTAATGTGAAATGTGAATAATATTCTTAAACATTGCATAGTAAAATAGTAACGAACTAACCTCGCATAGGATTATCTCTTTAATCATCTTTCTAAATAAATTGGCAGGACCACAAGACCAACGATGCTGTTGATATCGATAAGCTTTGAATGTACTGGGTAGCTCATTCTTGACCTGTAAAAAGATTTTATAAGTAAAAAAAAATGATGTAAAAGAAAGCTAGCTTATTATACAAGATGATCTAAAAAAATCATCTCTATCATGTTTCATAAAAAAACATTTATTTTCTGGTTAGGATCCCTCTTTCCCCACTCTCTCAATGACTACAAAACATATCACGACTGTAGAGACTTTTTGGGTTCGTATCTAACGTGAATATCTGCATCAAAAGTATATGTGTACATCTGTGTCTTTGTAACATAGATCATGTAATTCACCTTGAAATGATTCTCTTCTAATCTCTGACTTCTAATGTGGACGAAGGAAGAAGAAAAATGAAGAAACAAAGAATGAGACTTACATAGAGATCACCTACAAAGACAAACTTCCAACCCTTGAGGCTTGCCCTTACAGCCAAATCCATGTCCTCCACAGTTGTTCGATCTTTCCAACCACCGGCATCATTAAGTGCTTGCATTCTCCATACACCAGCAGTTCCTGCAAATGCAATCCTTATTGTATATCTACACATACTGCATACATTCTCCATAAACAAACACAAACTAAACTCCATAGATAAGATTACTTACCATTGAATCCAAAGAAGGCATAAGTAGAAGAACCCACTTCTTGCTCAACGCTAAAATGGTAGTCCAAAGACATCTCTTGCAGCCTTGTCATTAAGCACTCATCTGCATTAACTGCACCAAACCCCACATAAAGTCATTTGATCTTTCAAATAGATAACTAATCCCGGACTACAAACACATAATCAACTTCAATTGATTGAAGGGAAAGAAAAAACTCAAAGTATACGATGTACAACATCCAAAGAATGTGAAAATCATACCAAATTTCCATCTGGCTTGAACCAAGCCCAACTCCGGATTGCTGAGAAGGAAGGGGATTGTTTGCAACAAAAAGTCGGACTCGGGTTGGAAATCGGCATCAAAGATTACAACATAGTCGCAATCTTTCACATACTGGTGCTTTAGTCCCTCTCTAAGAGCACCAGCTTTATATCCATTCCTGTTGTTTCTAACCTCATACTTAACATTAACTCCTTTGCTTATCCATCTTTGGCACTCCATCTCAACCAAGTCCTTTAGCAACAAGCAAAGCAAATTTGAAATTAACAAATATAGTTAGATAAAATCATACAAGTTTGAAATGCAAGCATATCAAGGATTGGCATAGTAGGAAAAAAAACGAAAAAAGAAAACAAAAAAAATTGGAATTATGATAGTAAAAGTAGTACCCTGATCATACAGTCAGTAGAATCATCGAGAACTTGAATTATAATCCGGTCAGATGGCCATGAAAGCCCACATGCTGCTCCTACTGAGAGTCGATAAACCTGGCATTTTAGCACATGCAATATTAAAAAACAGAATTAATGAGGAAATAAGTAAATAACTATATATTTGTCCTGGATCCTTTACCTAGCCACTTACTAGTAACGAGTTCATGAACTTCAAATGGGGATCGTGAAAAGTCAGAAGGGTCTTCTCAATGTGCATTTCATGAGCTCGATAGAAGTCATCCCATTGGATAACAATATTTGTAAGTTCAAATGATATATTTTGATTGCTTGACAAAAAAGATCTAATATATAATAAAGTAAACAATAAAAAAGTTCTTCAAAAAAAAAAAAAGATAAAGCCAGTATGTTTTGGGCGATGCTACGAGAGTTCCTGCGTGTTTATGGAGTCAATAGGGACCGCTATTCGCAAAACCTGCTGGGTCAACCCCGACAGGGCTAGGTTACTCAGAACCGGCTATTAGCTGTGGCAGGTTTTGGCCGATTGGGGCGGTCAACCGGCTTGACCACCCAAATTATAATTTTTTTTAAAATCATAATTATAAATCTAAAAAAGTAAGAAATTTATTTGTAATAGGTTTCTGAATATTTTCTATTGTTTTGGAAAAGAATGGGAACTATTTTGGCTATAAATACTTTTCTTTTAGATTTTTCCACCTTTTTGGATTATTTCTAAAATACTTGGGTATAAATTGATTTTTCAAAATCTATTTTTTCACTAATTTTTTACACTCATTCAGATGTATTTTATTTAATAACACTTTAAGCATAATTTTTATAATTTTGTAGATTTTTTACATTTATTTTTTACTCTTTTTAGCCCTTGTTAGCTTGGTTGGGGACTACCAGTTAAGGCTAGTTGCCCAAACCAATTTTGGGTTACTGGACCCGGCCCATCGCCGGGTACGGATGCCAGTTCGTGCACAATCAGGGGGACAAGAAGGCCGAGTCTCAAAGAGTATCAAAGCGGACGTTAAGAGCCAAAACATTTTATACTCCCGCAGGAGCATAGCTCTACATATATTCCCTCAGGTGTAATTTTGGAACCTCAAGTTTGGGAATGTAACCTCTTCCACCATTGAATTAGACCTTAGTGTTAAATAATAATAAAAAAGAAAATCTAAATTTGAACATTTTATTTGGTCCGTAATGTGGTGCTGGTCTCACCTACGAAGGGTACCGGAAAGGGTAAGCTATAAACGATCCTAACCTTTGGCTTTTTTATGCATAAAGTGGCTGCTCTCAGGACATGAACCCTCGCTCTTGTACTGACTACTTGTACTGACTACCCGAGTTATTGACTGCCCTCATTTGAACTCTTTATTTAATAGGAAAAAATAATGTCTCAAAATTGAATAGCAATTGTCAAGTTTTGAAGCGGAGATCTAAGACTCAAAAAACTCAAATTTAATTTTTTTTTTGTTTGAAAAATAATGATCTCATGATATTAGGTGGTTCCCAATCCCAGTACACGGAACGAGTTCGAGTAACTCGGCTTAAGTAGTGTCGAGTACTGTAGCAATAAAATATGGGTTAAACAATTATAAAAAATAAAAAAAATACAACAAAAATAGAAAATGCATGATTAAAGTAAGATTAATAAAAAAAAAACATCAAAGAAAGTTCAAAAAGTAATAAAAAAATAGATTTTAAAAATCAACGTGTGACTGAAGGTATTTTCAAAATAATCCAAAAAAAATGTGAGAATATAAAAATGAATATTTATGGCCAAAACACTTTCTAATATTTTTCAAAATGATAGAAAACATAAAAATGAATATACCAAATAAATTTTTTATCTTTTAAACTTTTGTATAATTTGTTTTGGAGTTTTTTAAGCCAGAAAAACTCAGCCAAGTTCAAACTACTCGGCCGATTTTGCGACCATTGCTGGCATAATAATGGGCGATGTAATGATACATGTATATTAAGGGGAAGCATGGCCAGGAGAGTAGGATGCGTTATACATATAACGTTTTTGGGTAGATTAGTGGGTCTGCTCGTTTTTAAAAATAATTAGCAGTTTTCGAATGCATCAATGAGAATGGGGTTGAGGTCGTGGTGGTAGCATCACTTGAGCCTTACACGTTCTCTTAAGAGTAGAACCTCGACTTAGGATTAGTAAGTGACTTGTAAAATGGGAGCTTGGAGCCACTTGGTTCAAAGCTTGGAGCCACTTACCTTGAACCAACTCATACCCTTGGATTTCTATTATGGGTATTCTTATTGGTAATTATTTAAAAAGTATGAGCTAAAATTAAATTAAAAATAAAACATCTATTTTTAATAAATAAAACTTTCTTTCAAGCTACATAGTGTTTATTCCAACTGCAAATATTTTAGAAGTAAACAAAACAATTATTCTCTCCAAAATTAAAAAGAAAAAACAAAAATCGTATGTCCAAATTAAAGTTTTTTTAATTATTTTTTTTGACGAAGTTTAGCATTTATTGATAATCAAAGCAGGTTACAATATAGCGGATACATCATCAGCAATCACTGGCACAGTAAGAGAAGCACCCCTTTTAGCTAAAAAGTCCGTTAAATCATTGGCTTCCCTATACACATGAGCTAAGGATAAGGTCAAAGAGGGCATCAGCTGAAAGATCTGAAACCCAATGAATTTACTATGTCCAAAAATTAATGTTAAAAAGAAAATAATATTAGCTTAGTCCTTACTAGAACTTTATTCCATAGGGAACATTTTTATGACAGCATTTTAATTTCAATTAGCATGCTTGCTCCATAACACACCTTAATGCACAAAAAGGGTTTAGTATTTATCTCGTAGGTTAGGATTGTGACCCATGTCTTTTTTGAATCCATTGCGAATGACCACCCCATTGCGAATGGTCACCCATGTCTTTTATTCAATGAAAGTAATAGTTAATATTAAATAAACAAATGAATAAATAGAAAAAGAAAAAGAAAAAAAAGTAAAGAAATAAAGATGTAAGGCCTAAGATCTATGAACAAAAAGTAAACACCTTGTTTATTTTTTCAGAGTTTGAAATCCTACATAATCATGATGGTCAAGGCTAATATAAACTGTTTGAAGGTTTTTCGATACGAGAAGTGTAATTTTTTTATGAGTTTTGAGGTGAAGCTCTACCTATTTTGATATATTTAAAAAGAAAAAATTAGGGTAGGTGGCGCTTACATGTACATTATGTTCAAGAGGGACCATCTATAAGGGTTAAAAGGAAGGTTGACGTACCTCCCTCTCGTTGTACATGGGGATCTGCACGAGGACCATGGGGTGGCCGGTTTTATTGAGTTCAAGGTCGTCTCTAATGGCTTCACACTTGTACTTTGTGTATTTCTTCTTCCCCAACAACTTCACCACCATTATCACCACTGCCATGTAAACCCTCTCCACAAACAGCATCACAGACATCACAGCGCACGCCACCACCGCCCCCTTCAGCAGCCCCACCACCACCACCGCTCGCCCCAACGCCACCCCATCCTGCATCAATCCCCGCTCATACACCCTCACCATTTTCCCCTCTCTCTCTCTCTCTCTCTCTAAATAACACTGTGTACTACACTTTTGATGAGGCCAATGGGTTTCTTGTCTTAATTCCCTTTTTATTCTCTCTCTCTAACTTCTCCTTGTTTCTCTCTCTAAAGAGTGGAAGAAATTAGAATTTTCTCTCTACCCATTGCTCATGTTTTTCAGGGAAGGTAAGGGTGGGGGGCGGGCTGAGGTTTAGAGAGTATTGGGGATCTGGTTTTTATAGTGTGGGGGATTGAGGGATGGTGTGAGATGTAGAGAGAGAAAGGGTGCTAAGAATGTGAGGAGAGAGTAAGGGTGTTTGTTGGTGTTGAGAGCCACCCGGTGGGCATGCAGGTGGGTTTTTCTCTCCTTTGCAACACATGGCCCTGAGAAATGGAGTGTGCTCCATTATCTACCGACACTGTTCTCTCTCTAGCTGAATCTGTGTGTGCATGAATCTGTTATTATGATAGGATTTAATGTTATGTGGGCTGCTGCTTTCCTTATCTTCTTGCTTTTGCTTTTCTTATTTATCTCTCTGAAAGTGAGTGTTGTTTTGTGGTGGTGCAATGTGGAAAGCGAAGAGATGGGTTGCGTTGTTTTGACATGTGAATCACTCGTCTTTTGTGCTTGGAAGGCGTTAAATAGTGAATTGGACGGGTGCGATGGATTTTGGGATTTACCTGGCATCCTGCTTGTCTCCTTCTTCATACTCCCCCTTCTCTCTCTCTCTAACACACAGATACAGTGGGGACTATAATCTCCTCGTTGCATGCATGCATGCATCCATCTCCCTCCCCTCATGCTAACAGAACTGCTTCATCTCTCTCTAAAGTTCCAAATGGATCAGGCGTGATACTGCACAGAAACGTAAGGTAAGCATCAGGGATATGGAATCCATCTTTCTCAAATTTTGGAATTGGATAATATGAGGCCATTTCGCCGATATATGGTGGACACGATTTTGACGTTCTACATTCGACTGGCACGTGCAGTTGTTATCGGGCTGAGCCTGACTTGGCCCGAAATCATATAAGGTAGCCCGGGGCTCAAAACAATTAAATTTCGGGCCTGGGGAAATCATGTAAGGTCCGAAAAATTGGGCGTCGCAGGGTATTTGATAAATGCAAGAAAATTTCTGGAGTGAATTATTTTTAAGTTTCTCAATATTTGTAAATTTTTGGAAATCTGAATAATAAGTTTTGAAGTTAGGGTTTTTCAAAAGATTAATTCCTTTGTTATATGTTAGATTGCACTTTGAAGGCGATATTGTAGCGTTTATACAATCTGTAACGACACCTCGAAAGAATACGGAAAATCACCGAAATCATGAGTGAGTATGAAACAAACGACAAAATTCATGGATGCGTTTATTTTGACATATTATATTTGTTTTTTTTAATCTAAGTTGAGGGTTTTTATATGCGAGTTATTTTTTCATTTGGTTATTACTGTACAACGTTTTTATAATCTATGGTGGTTTGCATCATAGTTACCGGGTCCCGCCCAGCATTTCGGAGCCTGGATCTCACTCCAATTTTTAGGATTCTCGATTCTGTTCACAATGAAGCTTGCTCCTTATATTGCACGGAACGTATTCCTTAAATTTTAGGATCTCATTCCTGAATAAATTAGATCCCCGCTCCCAGAATTTTAGGAGCGCGATCCCTACATATCCGAAACTCCATCCCTATTTTTCCAAAATATCCTAAAAGAAAATTCTTAAATATAATTATTTTTAAAATAAAATAATTATATTGTAAACCAAATTTTCATAAAAGTGGAGTTCTGCGATGGGAGCGTGGACTATCATGCACAGAACGCGATCCTTTCTTGAATGAAGCTTGATCCTTTCCAAATAGGAATATGGTCATTCTTAGATGGAGGCGCGATTCTAATGTTGATGGGAGGACAATCCTAATGAATATGGGAACACGATCCCATTTGACATGGAAAGCATTCTCGTTAAATAGGGATTTCGATCTCGATGTATTGGAAGCACACTCCCTATTCATACAGGATCTCGATCCGCTACTTTTACAATCACCGGAACTTGCTCCTCGAGCTCCGGAGCTTTGGGCAGATGTCGCTTCGACGCTCCCACTCCTGATAACTATGGTTTGCATATCTTTTAATTTTTGCCCCCCTCTTCTAATTGGGTTAATAAAATCTCTGATTTGTAATTGGATTAATAAAGTGTCTCCTCAGTATAGGTGAATTGATGGGAGTTTGAATAATGAAAAATTAAATCCAAAATAACAATGCAGAAAGTTATAAGAAGAAAGAGATTGTACTTGTCTTCCAAATTTCACTTGCAATTACTTCAACAAAAGCTTACACCAGACCGAAAAGGCTACTTTCACTTCCACACTTTTTCTCTCTCTACACACTCTTTCTCATTCTCTTTCTCTCTCTTGCTTCTAACTTTTCCTTCACTCAATACTCACTCACTTGTCCCCGATGTGGCTCTCTATTCCCCTTTTTATAGGGGTTGTCATACCAACTAGAACATTCTAGTTACCACCTACCCACATTTAATGGGTTGCCACTTTTATTAGAAACTTCTATATGCTTTTTTATTTATTTTTTTCATGTCTTATCTAGAAAGCTCTATCTATAAAACTCTACATGTTTTCTTAAATAATTTTCTTCACGTTCTACTCACATCTAGAAAGTTCTTCTTTGTTAAGTTTAATTTTCCAACACTTCCCCTTAAACTTAACAAAGTTATATAGATACCATCCCCAGAAAATGTTTCAACTGCTTAAATCTATGTGGTCTTAATGGCTTGGTGAAAATATCCACAACTTGTTCTTCAGTGTTACAATATGTGAACTTGATTTTATTATTCTCTGTGTGATCATATATGAAATGATAACGTTTGTCAGTATGCTTGTTTTTTTCATGTTGGATTGGATTCTTTGCTAATGTTATTGCTGACAAGTTGTCTATATGGATCTCGGTGGGGCCATCTTGTATAAATTTTAATTTTTTTAATAGGTTTCTTGGCCATAGTGTTTGTCCCACGCATGAAGCAGCTGCCATATACTCTACTTCACAACTTGATAGTGCCACCACTTTCTGTTTCTCTGATGATAATGAGAATGCAGCCGTTCCAATGTTAAATGCAAATCCAAAGGTGCTCTTGTTGCCATCTAAGTCTCCTCCCCAATCACTGTCAGTAAAACCAACAAGTTCAACTTCGTTTTTTTTTTAATAAAGCAGGCCATGATTCAACGTACCTTTGATATGTTGTAGGATTCTCTTGGCTGCTTGAAGATGAGTCAACTTAGGTGCTTCCATGTATCTGCTAATCAATCCAACACCATATACAATATCTGGTCTAGTACAAGTTAGATATCTTAAGCTTCCAACTAGACTTTGGAAATAAGTAGGATCTGCCCTTTCTTCTTTTTCATTTTTATCTAGCTTTACCCCAAATTCCACAGGAGTGCTGATTGACTTACAATTTTTCATTTTGAATTTTTTCAATATTTCTTTTGCATATTTTTCTTGAGAAATGAAAATTTCATCATTTTCTTGTTTTACGTCTATTCCAAGAAAATAGGGCATGAGTCATATATCTGTCATTTCAAATTCATTGGCCATTCTAGCCTTAAAATCTTCAATCATTTCCTTGCAATTTCCATTGCCATCCTCACTATGAGCGTCTTGTTTTGTAGCCTACAATGGTGAACAACATAGAACTGATTTTTGAGGAATGGGCGATTAGAGAGAGAGAGAGAGAGAGAGAGAGAGAGAGAGATTTGAGATCCAGAGAGAGAAGGAGCTATGTCTCCAAGAAATTGAGAGAGGGAGGATGGCGATGGAATTTGGCCGTTTGGGGAACCGGGGGAGGACCAAATGTATTGAAATAATTTTAGAGTTGTGGGTTTAGCCCTTTGGATAAACTATAAATTCGGGTCCGGGTACTCACCGGGTTGGGTATAGCAAGACCCATACTTGGACCCGAAACTATCGGGGTATCCTTTATTAGACCTGGACCCTACCCACTGGTCCAAAACTTGGACCCATACCCATACCCGTGTCGCGTATACCAGGTGGGTATGGGTCGGGTCTGGGTCTATTGCCACCCCTACTAAATAGTGAGTATGTAGCCTAGAATTGATTATGCTTTTGAATTACAATAAGAAATTGAAAGTTAATAATGGAGTCTACCACAAAAATATTTTTTTCATGAGACCCAAAATTAACTCTTCTCTTTTTTTGTTTTCTTTTCAAATAATTACATATTTATAGAGGAAATCACTAAAATTTAATTTGTTCCTTAAAAAGTCTAGATCAATATTAAATCCTAACTTAAATTTGCAACTCTTCCCATCAATTCCTTCCAACTAAAAACAATAATAATAACATAACTTAAAGGAAAACGTTTATAAAAGGTTGCCACCTTAAAATGTAGAATCACAGATGCACCTCACTAATCCATCAAAAAATGTTGTTTTAATGTTGAGAAACCCTCTAACTGATCATCTCAACACTGAGATGTATGAATAAGTAAAAAATGAAGATTTTAAGTCCTATAAATAGTGCATCGTGCAACACATTATCTAGGCCATCTATTTTCAATATTTTCATATATTTATAAATCTACCAGATTTTAACCATTTTTTTAGTTTTAAATTTTATAATTAGATATAAAAAAAGATTTTTAGATAATCCTAAGAAGTTTTTACACCAAAAAAGATTTTTAGATAATCCTAAGAAGTTTTTACACCAAAATTATTAGTTCCAATATTGAAAGTCAATATATAAATAAATAAAATCGATAAACAACTTACTTGGATATGTCATTAAATCACATGAGGGACTTAAGGTTCTATACCAAAACCTATAGACCAAGTCATCCGGTATCAAGATACCTTGAGAGTGCTCTTAGTGAATCTCGTTTACCAATTTTCCATC